TGTGGAGCTCAGGTACAATGTTATGAGTTTTATTCTGTGTATACTAATATTTTCAGAGAAGAATAATGAAAGGATTATATAATTACTCCCTTCTTCTAATTTGTCTGTGATATTTCCTTTCCAGTTTCAATTAACCTGTTTAACATGATGTCTACATTCTATTGAATATTAATTATCACATTAACTATGGTAGCTTCAACAAGTAAGCTTCACAATCCATCATGTGAGGTTATACATGGCTTGATTTAAAAAAATAATCAATATTAAGTATAGTTTGTCAGGCTTTGAGGGGTGAACAAGAAGTAGATAACCTAAGCCAGTGGTGAATGTTTTCATATTCTTTCTCATGACACTCTCCAAGAACAAGGATTGGACTTCACACAAGTCCAGTCTTCCCAAGAGGTTTTTTTTTTTTTTTTTAAGGAAATTTATATGGCTGCCTACTTGCTCACAGTGACTCCAGGTGACTTACAAGCAATAAGAACACATATAAAAAAATAAAAATAAAAAAGCAATAACCCCTCACACATCCCCAGAGACAACAAACAGTCAAATGAGGCATTTGATGGGCTACATCCCACTCTTGGGTCCCCGGGGCGGCTGGCAAAACCAAGTCTTTAGGGCCTTATGAAAGAATGTCAAAGTGGGGGCAAGTCTAATTTCTGAAAGGATGATGTTCCAAAGGCAGGGAGCCACCATGGAGAAAGCTGAGTCCCGCCAGATATACCTACTTTGATGTCGGGGTGGATGTGACTGGAAAGAGATGGTCCTCAGATAACCTGGTCCCAAGCCATGAAGGGCATTAAAGGTGACAACCAGCATCTTGAATTGCACCTGGAATCAAATTGGTAACCAATGCAGCTCCCACAGGAGAGATAACACAAGTATATACCTAGGTCTACACAAAACTGTGCAGGCCACTGCATTTTGATCAATTGGAACTTCCAGATACTTTTTTCAATCTTGAGTTTTGAGGTAAGTTGCCTACAACTCCCATTATCCCCAATTAGTGCTACGAGACTTGCAGAAATGAAGCTCAACACATCAAAAAGGTAACATGTTGTAGAATCCTGATTTAGCATGCTATATCATTTGGTACAATGACTCTCAAAGTGGGCTTGTGGGTTTATAGATAAATAAAACTTGTCCCTAGGCCAAATTCATCATTTAACATTTTAGAATATTATCCCCCACAGATTTCTAATGCTAACAGAATTGGGGGAAAATGCACATATTAATTGCAAAATTGTCACATACATGAAAGCTAACGAAACACAGCACTATAAATTGACAGTGATATATGCTTTATCTTGCATTGTCAAAATTCTCAATATCACTAACCACCAGGTTTTTCATAAGCAAGCATTATAATGAAATGATCTTTTTTAAAAAAATCCTTTTGCCCCAGTAACCAGGGAATTACTCCCTTGGGAACAACAACAACAACAAAAAAATAGTTTCTTCCACTTGTTCTTATGTAATGAAAATGAGTGACTAATACGTGATCCAAGGATATTGATATTTAGCACTATCAATTTATGTCTTGATAAGCAGTTGATCTGATAGCAGAATCAAACTAATTAAAATGTCTAATTAGAAAAAAATCAAAGAAAATCCAATTAGATTAAATAAAGTTTTTTCTGCTCTTCAAGTAAAGATTGATTACTGGTAACATTTACGTTAGTATAGTAAGCAGCACTATTTTTTGTCAAATTGTAATAGTTTGAATTCTCCTAAACTTAGAAGACGATAATTCAAATAAGAATTATTCCAAGGGAACTGATTTATTTTCCTTTCCTTTTCTCTTTTATTAGAACTAGTAGAATAGATGAATTATTCATCTAGCATAATTATTTTTATGTTATACCAGTGCCCAACTGTGATTCATTTTATCCTTCGGTGGACTCTCCTCAAATTATATCTTAATATTTTCAACCATGAAGGTGAATTCTTTTTCTCCTGTTAAAGAAGAATCATTCATATATTCAATGCTTTTGCGAAATGAACCTTCAGTGTCATTTTAACTTTGTTAATTTGCAAGGCAGCACAAGCAATACGAAGCAAAGGCAAATACATGAGCCCACTTTTTTTTATTTACCACTGTGGATATAATTGGCTTATTCAACAAGCCATGTGAAAATATCCTGGTTTAGCACTACGTGTGAACGCAGCATGAAGAAAATAATACACTCCCAATGTTAAGTGTTTAAATTTGTTAAGAATGCTGAGAATACTCCCTTCTTATAGATTACAAATTTGAAATAAAGAAAAATGTATTATTAAAGGGAGTGAAAGTTATACAAAGGAGGAAATAATTATTGAATCATACCAGAAAAATACAGTTGCATATGACAGAAAGAATTCATAGAAGAAAATACTATTCTATCAGCCAGAAGAATATTACATGTCTATAAAATGGAGTTATATTGAAATTTCCATAATGGAAGATAAAATAAACAAGGAACTTTGTGGAATGCTGACCTTTTTGGCTGAAAATGGAAAGAACTAAAATGTTTGTTTTTAGGCTGAATAATTTAAAATGCATTGAATAAGAGAACCAAGGGATTATGTTTAAGAGAGAGGAGGGATAACAGCTTTGACTGTAGCTGCTGTAATGAAGGTTACTACTCCCTTCATTTTTTTTCCTTTTAATGGTTTTGATTCCTGCATTTTTTTTTCTTTTTCTTTCCTTCTTTTATGTATTTATTTTTATTTTATTCAAGTAAAAATTCTCAATAAAGGTTTTTTTTTTAAAAAAAAAGTTACTTTGAGAGAATATTGCTAAAAACAACATTCCATAATACTAAGAAATGTGTTGCTGTTCTTTTTTTCTTTTTTCTTTTAAACAAAAGTCTTAAACGTTTGCCTATTTCTACACTGGCTTACACTAGCAGGTTTATATATCCCGGCATTCAAAGAAAAGAAGATGTTGCTGTGATTACATAACAAAATGGGCTTACACTGGCAATTTCCCAACCCAGCTGAACAAAGAGAAAGCACAGGATGGTACCAAGTCATCTTGTGCAATCAGGAACTTAAAAAGCTAGCAATTCCCAATCCTTCTTCCTATACTTCTGAACATCATTATTTGCCTTACTTTTCAGTGCAAGATAGTACAATTAATTAAGACAACTGCTAACGCAGAGACAGGACAGCCAGAATTAATGTAGCCACATATTTATATCTTGTGATTCTCCTGAGGAGCTTAGAGCAATTCACACAGCACTACTTTCTCCAATTCCCCCCACTTGTGAGGCAGATTGATCTGAGTGATAACTATTGGCTGAAAGTCATTTGATAGGTTTCTATAGCTGGATTTTAACCCCAGTCCTAGCTCCCCACCCAATAGCATAACTACTACACCATGCATTATTCAAGTCTATCCACAATTCACAGCTACAATATATTCTGGGCAATGAAGAAGGAAAAGGAAATGAAAGAGATGGAGAATATCATGGATTGTTGAAGAGCTTTCACTTGCAACTGAATGCAGGTAGTCCTTTACTTACGACCGGTTGCTTAACGACTGTCTGAAGTTATGACAGACTCTTCCCAACAAGGGACTTACAACCCAGTTTCAAACTTCCTATGTTGCCCCCCCCCCCCAAAGCCATGTGGTTGCATTATAGGCACTCAGCAAGCAACCCTCCTTTATGGCTGTTTGCAGCACTGGTGTTACCATATATGACCATGGTTTATGATGTTTTCGTCAGAAATTGGTGTTTACTTCCAGTTTTTCACAAAAATTGATCCATAGCAAACAATGGATTTGCTTAATGACCATGGCACTTGCTGAATGACCATGCCATTCACTTTACAACTGTAGCATTCACTTAATGACACCCACAAAATATATTATAAAAACTGGCCCGAATACAAATTTAAATATGTCACATTAAGATAGCTTTCACTGCAGGAGGAGAGAATTTATATGTACTTGCACACATGCTAATAATTTTTTTCAGGTAGATAAGCAGAAAACTAGCATTTTCTGAAGCTGTAAGATAAAGATTTCTTATTATTATGTAACTTAAATACAAACCTACGTCCATTATTTTGCTCAGATGATATTAACACTTTCACATAAACTATTCCTATATATGAGAGCCAGTTTGAAGTATATTAAGGAATGAGCTGGTAAACGGAGGACCCAGATTGTTGGGGTTAATATAACCGCTTAGAGAGCGGTTATATTACTCACTCTCTCTCTCTCTCTCTCTCTCTCTCTCTCTCTGTCTGTCTGTCTGTCTCTGTCTCTCTCTCATACTCAAAATTTGTGGCTGGCAAAGAGTTAGTGGGAGACTAGAAGCACGGAGCCGAAAACACCAGCCTGAAGATGACGAATGGGACTTCGTTGAAACGTCGGCAAGATACTTCCAATTTTACGTGGGAGAAAACCCGAATAACCAAAGACCTACACACACACACACACACACACACACACACACACACACATGCATACATACATATATATATATACACACATACACACACACACACACAGCTACATGATATTAGTCATGACCAATCATATAAATTGCTAAAATTGGCTGGTATAATATAATACTTATTTGATTATCTGTCATATTTATAACACTACAAGTGGCAAGCTAAAATGTCCTTTGCCACGTATTTAATTAAGCAGCTTTTTTAAAACTATTGTTTCTCAGTTTCCACCTTTGATATATACCAAGAGTCTAATTATGTTAGACAATATTAAAAGAGGATTGCCTTCCATGCCAACTCTGTCACTCATCCTGGTTTCTTCACAAACAAACCATGAGTTCTAGTCCCCCTTAGGCATGAAAGCCAGTTGGATGGCTTTGGGCCAGTCCCTCTCTCTCATTTCAATTCATCTCACGGGGTTGTTGTGGGAAAAACAGGAGGAGGAAGGAGTGGTAGATGTGTTTGTTGCTTTGAGTTGTTTAAAATAATAATAATAATAATAAAGGCAGGGTGTAATAAATACCAGTAATCTGCATAACTACAAAAAATGTTACCTTTGAAGCTTGCCGAAGCCACCGCAAGTACTCAGTGAAAGTGTCAAAGCAGATGTAGTAACTCTGACTTTGAGGTCCAGATGAGCTAAATGCTAAACAGTGCTGGTGCTTTTTAACTTCTTCAACCTGCATGGGGATGGAGGCAAATAGATATATTTTTAAAAAACATAATTTCTAAGTCAGAAGTTAAACCTCTAAAATATTAATTAAGTATAAAATACAGTTAAGAAAAAAAAAATCCCGCAAGGATAAATAGGCTGTCAACATAACAAAAGAAATGTATATATTTAATAATAGAATATGAACTTGCAAAATTAAGCTCATTTCATTTGGCCAAAACAACCCAAAAGTCATCTTCAGATTGTATATTAAGCTTCAAGTAGTATAATAGGCCTTAATTTTAAATACATGATACACGGGGTTTAATTGTTAATTAAACAGTTTTAGGAAAATTCTCAACAATCCATTTTACTTCCAGACCTTTTTAATTAACAAATTGTCAAGAAATGACACTTTTGTTTTTCCTGTTCATTGCATACACCAGGGGTACCTAACCCCCAGGCCACAGACTGGTACCAATTCGTGGCCTGCTGGGAACAGGGCTATGTAAGCCTGGGTGATCTGCTGTGGTGGGCCGTGGAGGCGGTGGATAGCGGTGCGGGCAGGCAGAGGCGGGGTGGGAGGTGGGAAAGTGCGGGGGCAGAGCGGGGCGGTTTTTGGGCACTCGGTCTTTAAAAGGTTCACCATCACTGGTATATAGTTATCAGGGCTGGTAGCAACAACTAGAGTAAGTTTTGCAAAGAAGCAATGTAAATACAATTTTTGGGGAAAAGTATCCACTCTTTTGACATGCTAGATCAACTTTCTACATCGTGATACTCTCCAACATCCATGATGAAATAGAACATGGGAGGATTCAGCATTCAACACGTCTGGAAAATACCACAATAGAAAATGATAATTGTATGCTGAATACATAGAATTTTTTGAATGCCTAATAGGATACAAGGACAATTTCAAAGATGTAAACCTGTGCCTTTTGGAAAATGCTCATTTCTGCACAGGGAATAACACAACTGCCAGGTTGCTGAATGCAATCCGTACAATATTCTGCCAGAAAAAGAGACTGAATTATTGGTCAACATGTGATTGTGTCTCAAGCAAGTAAATCCTTTCTACAGCAAATGCACTGAGGAACATGGCTGCGTAATCATCACAAGGACTGACTGGGCAGCATTAATGAAATTACCAATGACTTATAATGTAACTTCTCTTCCCATGCCTGTAACGCTTAGTTAAAGTACAGTGAGCATAATTTACAGTACCAGGGAACTCTGGTCACCTTGCGGCTTCAATAATAATAATAACCACAATGTTGAGCATTGAACTCCACATGGTTGATATGGGATTTCTGCTTCTAGATGCTAATGAAGCTGGATATATTTAAAAGGCAACATTATTCCATACCCTCAGAACGTGCTTTATGTTCTACAGCTTATGTCAGAATCTCACAGCCTTGACAGATGGATTAGGTCAACAGAGTGTGATTTAAACGGAGTTATATATGTCTAAGTGTCAAATTGTTTTCAACATTGAAATGATTTCTTGTCTCGCAACAAGAAACTTTCGGATTAGTTGGCTCTGTTAGAAATACATTGTGGGCATTTTTTGAGATTATGCCTATGTCTCTATGAATAGTCACTGATTAAAAGCCCAGATCAGGATTTTTTGATTGAGGAATGGTATCTATCTATGTTCCCAACTTATTCTCCAAGTGTAATGGAAAATTAGTCACTGTCCTCAAGAGCAAACAGTTTGTAAAAAAAAATGGTATGCAAAACAAACCCTTTACAAATAAATACAAAATGAGTATGCCATCTAAAAGCAATAATTGCACATCATTTGACCAAATAAAGAAGGATGTTATAGTGAAACTGAAAACTTCATTGGAACATATCCTATTGTACAAAGATTTGTATAGTTACTTATATCAATTCCATTGCCTGAGGCGGCTTCTTGGTTTTAAATTTCCTATTACAGATTGTAGGTTTAATTATTTTGCATACTAGAAGCTACAGATACACACACACACACACACACACACACACACACACACACACAGAGATGAGAGAGAGAGAGAGAGAGAGAGAGAGAGAGAGAGAGAGAGAATATACTAATAGTGAGGTTTTTGACATGTTATCTTTTTCTATACAATTGTTTTTTTTGAGCAAAAATTACATATACAGATGATTAAGTATTCTTAAGATTACAAATGTGCTCATAATTACTCCCAAACATGATGGGTTTTATTTATTAATACTGCTCTTGCCTTTTTTTCTTGGTTTGTTTTATTCCTTATTATGTTATTTTTAAAATATGTGATTTTGATGATGTATTATTCATTTTAATTTTACTAAATATATACACATACAAATACACACACACACATAAACACACATACTGAAATTGTTAACTTGCCTTTCCACCAATTAAGGGGAGCACGTGCATTTTTCCAGTCTGGCTTTCTTTCACCGATGATACTATTAGGCACGTCCCGCAAAGGATAACTTGGCGTCTTGTCCATCTGTTGACCGGCAAATGCATTTTCCCTTTTCTAACATTGTACATTCCTGAGAGCTGAATCCGTTCAGAGTTGCCAGTGCTGTTGGGCTTTCCTGGAATGGAAACAGCAAATAACTTTATCAGACAGGGTGCTTTTCCAATTATTCTTCAACATGCTCTAGATAGCACAACAAAATGAAGACAGTATCCCCAAAGATAGATGCAAAGACCAGCATAACTCCAAATACATGGAAAATTCCTATCCTGCCAATTGCTTTTTAAATTTTTAGCTCCAGGAATATTTTTAGGGGTAACAATCTTTATATATAAATAACTACATGGATATAAAAGTCTATGGACAAATTTGCAAATTTGATTTCCAGGGAGGGTAGCTTAAATTACATCAGAAGCATGAAAAATATATCAAAAACGCAGGGCAAAAGTCAAAGTCCCCTTTTACTAGAACTCAAACTCTGTCATCCCAATACAAGGTTGAGCTGATCACGTGACAGAGGTTCTAAAAAACAGAAAAGGTTTAATTAGATATCACAGTCACATCAGGGGTGAATATCTAAAGTTTTGACAGCAACAAAAAGACCCTCAAGATTAAACTATTTGTAGAAAGGCTTCGGAAGAAAGAACTTACTGAGTACCAATTACAGTGTACTGATACAATGCCCAAAAAGGAGGCTCTGAAAAAAACACAACTCTTTAACACAATACACACCCTAAAGCACTAAAATAATTTGATTATGATGGGACAACTCTACCTTATATATTAGAGCAGTGTTTCCCAAACTTGACAATTTTAAGGCATGTGGACTTCAACTCCCAGAATTCCACAGCCAGCAATGCTAGCTGTGGAATTCTGGGAATTGAAGCCCACATGCCTTAAAATTGTCAAGTTTGGGAAACACTGTATTAGAGCAGCAAGATTTTCCCATGAAGGATGCAGTATACATCATCCCTTTACACAATTTCCTTACTAAGAAGGCCAAAGGAGAAAAATGGGAGAATGCTACACAGCATTCCTGCTAACAGGAACCAGGGAAGATACCTTGATTAACGAGATGAAGCCAGCTCTGCCAAGATTTTCCTGGATGAGCAATTTTCACTCATCGTTTGTTCTGGCCTCCATTTGACTCTTGCCATGCTGTGTCTATGGCTGATCCACAAAAGTACAGAGTCCAATATTTCACCAACATATTGCCTGTACTAGCTGGATGTCTGCATTATAGAAATGGCATTTCAGTTAACTCTGCCATGGTCAAGATGTACCTAATAAGCAACAAAGGTATTTCTCTCTTACCCCAACTCAGTCAAAACTGTTTTAAAATTTTACAAACAGAATCTTTATATTCTATCAGACTTAACAAAATAGAATGTAATATACAACATAGAAAAAAGTGGGAATACTAGCAGCACTATTTACTGTAGTGGACTAATCCAATAGTAATATACTAACTTAAGCTAAAATGGCCAAAAGATACTGTCTAAGTTAGAAAAGCAAAACTGAGTCCTGTCGTGGTACGAAATCCAGTGTTTCAAGAATTTAATTTTAAAAATGTATTTAAAAGAAGCAATACAAAGAATTGTTCCATCTGGTTTTTCTGCTTCTGCTTAATGTTACAAAATTATGTCATCATGAAGCAAAACCAATTGGTTTTCAACACAAAATCTACTTGGGATTGTGAAATATACCCCAAAGTATACCCAGGATCCTGGGAGCTGGCTGGTATATCAATATATTTTTATTTATTAAAATAAGGGTCAAGGAATAGATAGATTATTAAATATATCTAATAAAGGAAACCTACTTTTGCTATACAAAAACATTTTTAAAACTATGCACATCAAAATCTGTACTTCTCACCTACGGATCCTGGGAAAGAGATGAGATACATCAAGGCACAATGACAAAACATCAATAAATCTGCGTATAAAAACATGGGGAGGGGTTGGAATCCAATACATAGAAAGGCTGGCTTCCTCTTTTTTTTTTGGCAACCAAGTTTCTCCTACAACCACTTTTTTGTAAAAATCATGGTAGCATTTTACCTGTAAGTCTGCTCTTATTTTTTAAAAAGCACATTCACGCTATTACTATAGCTACTTCAATTTTTTTTCCCCAGCATACAATTAGTTTGCAGAGACACGATTTGTTTTGGTAACATTCAGTAAAATGCCCACTCCCAAACTGCTGCTACTTAAAGCATAAAACACAATGCAATTCAGGTCAACCCTGTCAACTGCCACAGTGTTGCACAACTGTAGTGATTAATTTTCAGGACCCATCCTGCAGTATTTGCCAATATATAAATCCTACAAGTTTGACATTAAGGCTCTTTTGTTTATCTCTTTTTTGGATTTGCAGGATAATTTCATCAAGTATTTAAAGTTGTTATATCACAACAGATGAGGTATCTTTATTCCTCTTGCCTCTGTCTAAGATGCAAGACTATTTCTTCCAGACTTTTATATACCTATAAACAGGTAAACTCTAAAGAGAGGGTGATTGCCATACATTATCCTATGCCCACAAAACTTATATCTACCCCAACTCTCCCCACTAAAAAAAGAGGAGAACAAGAACTGCTCTAGTGTGTTAGAAATAATCAATATGTTTAGCCACAGGACACTCAAGTAATTAAACAAGAATTGCTAAAGATAAGAACTTTATTCCTCTAGAATCCCAAAATAAAATTGCTGTGAAAAGATACAAAGGTGAGAGGTTTTAAATATAATTAGTTTTGAAAGCCAAATCTTTGAAGAACTAAACCTTTGTTGGTGTTCTGTAATTATGAAGAAGGGCCGAGGAGAACACTGGCAATTACGTACCAGAGAAGAACTTAAGATTTCAAGGAGTCCGAGAAGACAGAAGTAAAATAAATATATTGTTAAATTATAACCTATTCTCATCTAACAGAACCACCTGTATTCAACTTAAACATTACTGCATGATTGTCAATTTAAACACTGCTTTAGGCAAAGCATATGTATGAACTAGCTTGAGTACATTTATTGCTTTGTATCTAAGAGTTATTTAATTGATATCTCAATGTTTTAATTTGTCTAATATCCATAGCCATTTCTGTGCCTTTATCGAATCTGTCAATCAATTACTATTTGAATATTGTAAGTTTATTTTTCATGAGCTTATTGAAAATTATAATAAACTGTAAATAATTGGTATTACCTTTCTATCTTGCTTCCAAGATTATGTTGCTAAAAACAGGACAGTCTCTGGCCAGATCAAACAACTTAGTTAAGTTCTCACACCTACATCAACCATAGTAGCATTGTAATACTATTACAAGACAACTCCTTCCCCTGGAGCTTTCACAGTAACAGGTTTCTCATCATCTACTATTTCTTCATGTTTCTAAGTACACATGATTTTTATGCAGCTTGCTTCAAAAAACATGTAAAGATATAAAATTATCGCTGGTCAGGTCAGCAAGTACCTTGGATTGGCTATAACCATTTCTTTCTAAACCATAAAGGAGAATATTTATATTAGTATGAAGGAAACTTTTCATGCAAAGATGGGCATGATAAAGGACCAAAATGGCAGGGACCTAACAGAGGCAGAAGAGATTAAGAAGAGGTGGCAAAATTACACAGAAGAACTATACAAGAACGAGCTTAGCGTCCCTGATAATCACGATGGGATGGTCAATGACCTCGAGCCAGATATCTTAGAATGTGAAGAGAAATGGGCCTTAGGAAAGCTGAGCAACAACAAAGCTAGTGGAGGTGACCATATTCTAGCTGAGCTATTCAAAATCTTAAAAGATGATGCAATAAAAGTGCAACACTCAATTTGCCAGCAAATTTGGAAAACTCAACAGTGGCCACAGGACTGGAAAAGGTCAGTTTACATTCCAATTCCAAAGAAAGGCAATGCCAAAGAATGTTCAAACTATTGCACTAGTGCACTCATTTCACATGCAAGTAAAGTTATGCTTAAAATCCTACAAACTAGACTCCAGCAGTATGTGGAGCGAGAACTTCCAGAAGTACAGGCAGGATTTTGAAGGAACTAGAGATCAAATTGCCAACATACATTGGATCATGGAGAAAACTAGGGAGTTCCAGAAAAACATCTACTTCTGCTTCATTGACTATGCTAAAGCCTTTGATTGTGTGGATCACAACAAATTGTGGCAAGTTCTTAAAGGGATGGGAGTACCAGACCATCTTATTTGTCTTTTGAGAAACCTATATATGGGTCAAGAAGCAACAGTGAGAACTGGACACGGAACCACTGATTGGTTCAAAATTGAGAAAGGAGTCCAGCAAGTTTGTATTCTGTTGCCGTGCCTATTTAACGTATATGCAGAGCACATCATGAGAAAGTCAGGGCTAGATGAATCAAAAGTTGGAATTAAAATTGCTGGGAGAAATATCAACAACCTAAGATATGCAGACGATACCACTCTAATGGCAGAAAGTGAAGAGGAACTAAAGAGCCTCTTGATGTGGTGAAGATGAAGAGTGCAAAAGTTGGCTTGAAACTCAACATTAAGAAAACCAAGATCATGGCATCCATCCCTCTCAATTTCTGGCAAATAGATGGGGAAGAAATGGAGGTAGTGACAGATTTTATCTCCTGTGCTCCAAGATCACCACAGCTGGGGACTACAGCCAAGAAATTAAAAGATGCTTGCTCCTGGGGAGGAAAACTATAGCAAATCTAGACAGCATACTAAAAAGCAGAGACATCAACATCACCCTGCCAACAAAAGTGTGTATAGTCAAGGCCGTGGTTTTCCCAGTTGCAATGTATGGCTGTGAAAGCTGGACCATAAGAATGGCTGAGCACAAAAGAATTGAGGCCTTTGAACTATTGCGCTGGAGAATAGTCCTGCAAGTCCCCTGGATTGCAAGGTGATCAAACCGGTCAGTCCTAGAGGAGATCAACCCTGACTGCTCTTTAGAAGGCCAGATCCTGAAGTTGAAACTCAAGTACTTTGGCCACCTAATGAGAAGGATTCACTGGAGAAGAGCCTAATGCTGGGAAAGATTGAGGGCAACAGAAGAAGGGGACGACAGAGAATGAGGTGGCTGGATAGAGTCGCTGAAGCAGTAGGTGTGAGCTTAAATGGACTCC